TGACGTATCATACCAGTGTTTATAGCAGTACACCCAAAACAATCACGCGTAAAATCGAAACAAAAACACAACATTTAGAAAAACAAAAGACACATGAACATAAAATCGAAGAGAACTAAGTAAAATAAAATATTATTGCAAGAAAGCGGCAACATCAACAACATAAAAGAAGGAAAAAACAGTGGAAGTAAAATCCCAGAGCTTCAACATGTAAAGGTAATAGGGGCTTACCCCAGAACTCCATGGATGAAAGAGAGTGCTGGAACTAAGGTTTTAGTGGCGTCGAACGACTAGGGTTTTAGGGGAAGCTAGACAGAGTAAATAAAATAGCATTTTAAAGAGTGGAAACGAGCGGCCATTGAAAAACTATTTGGGTAAACAACTCATTTGGCCACTCATCTATTCTCGTATTTATTCATTGTCCATTCAACTATTTATTTTTTAAAATTATAACTAAAATTACGTTTTATTTCTGTTTTAGTCACATACCATTATGACTTAACGAAAATGGTGATGTGGCATGCTAGTGAGCATTCGATCGAGTCGAGTCAAAATATTTTGAGTTATTCGAGTTGACGAGTCGTATTTTATAACTCGAAGTAAATTTGAAATTTTTTCGAGTCAAGTTTAAGAAACTTAAATCGAGTTATTCGAGTTTTTATGTTAATTTTATTATAATTATTATAGTATTATGATAATATTGGTTCCAATTTTTTGAATTTCTCTAACTATATAAGATATATATTTCATATTCTTTCACATTATAATTTTATTTAATATATCCAATACAATTTAAAATTATAAAATATATTCACATATTATATTTTAAAGAAAGTATTTTAAAGATAAAATATTGACGAGAGTATAAAGGAATCAATAAATTGATGAAAAAAAAGAATTTGTAAATAATTGCAGTCAAGAAAACAAATTGAGTAAAATGCAAAGTTAAGGGACTAAATAAAAAAGAGAGTACATGTTTAGTAAAAAATAAAAATTGAAGTTACATAGGTATTCTGTAGTGGTGTATGAGCATGTGGTTCAAATTTGGTAAAAATAGACTTAAAATAAATGATGAATTGAAGAAATAAATGAAATTATGAAAATTAAGAGACTAAATTAAAAAATAGAAAACTTGTTATCAAAAAGAAAAATTAAAAGTACATATGTATTCTACGATGAAATTAAGGATTAAATCGTAAAACTATCAAAATACTTAGTCAAATTTTTAGTTTTTCGAGTAACTCAAAATTTCCAAATTTCAAATCGATCGAACTCAAAAACATAAAATTCGAGTTGACTTAAATAACTCGAACTTGAAAAATAAAATTTGATTTTTCGAATCGAGTCAAGTTTTATTCAACCCTAACTAAAATTATAGTTTTAGTCCCTACAAATTACAGATGCTAATTTAAAATAATTCATTAAATCCTTAACATTTAAAAATCTTATAAATTTAATTTAATATAAAATCCCAAAATCCACCTCCCAAATGTCAATCTTCCCCAAAACTCATTTCCCAAATTCATGGCCACTCGCACCGGCGAAACTCAATAATTTATTATGAGGGTGCCATTTTTAAAATTTGTATATATTAACCTAAATATTTTGATTTTATCAATATAAATTATATATTTATATATCGAAACATCATACTAATATAATAAAATTTTATAAATCCTTAAAATTCACATTTTTCACATAAAAATTTAAAGAAACAAAATTTATTTAGTCTTTTGTATAATATATCAATATAATTTTATAATAAATCACATAATATACAAATTTAATGAATAATTTTTAAATATATATTTTTATAATTAAAATATTACAGACATTTTAAAAATATTTTCACACACACATATAGTCTAAGTTTTTATTTTTAGAGATGAAAATTATGAACTTGCATAATAAATATAGATATTTGAAATAAAACTATAAATATAAATTGAATTTAAAATATTAAAAACTATTTTCAACTTGTAGACACTCATTTTCGCCCGGAGTTATTTTGTTATATATATATATATTATTTATTATACATATGTATACATATATATATGTATATAGTAATATAGGTTGTGAAGATGTTTTTGACAAAATATTATATAATTTTCAAAAAAGGATTTTCGAAAATTTATATATTATAGTTTTTGAAAATATTTTTAAAAAATATAATATATAATTTTGAAAACATTTATATGCTATATAATTTTTAAAACATTTTGAAAACTTATATAATAAATAGATTTTAAAAGCATTTTTGAAAAATTATATAATATATAGTTTAAAAATATTTTTGAAAAAATATATAATATATAATTTTAAAAACATTTTTGAAAACTTATATAATATTTAATTTTTAAAACATTTTTTAATATTATATAGTTTTTAAAAAACCTTTTTTTTAAAAGTATATAGTTTTTTAAAAAACAATTTTGAAATTTTATATATATATGTTTTTAAAAAACATTTTAAAATTTATATATATAGTTTTTTAAAATATATTTTATTTATATTTATTTATTAATATTATTTGTTATTTATTTATTTCTCTTTTTGTTTTGTTTTTCGGTCCAGGTTCAAGTTAGGGTCCAACCAGTTCAAATTGGGGCCTCAACCAGCCCAACAGGGAAACTAGGGTTCTCATTTGTCTCAACAGCGCCGCACAAGTCAAGAAAACCAGACGGTCAAACGGCGCACCGGCTGGCCGGGAAAATCGGTACTGCACCATCTCGGGATTCCCGGCTACGTGAACAACGTTAGCGCTAAGTACACGAGAACAACCCCATTATCATCGAAACAGACCACCGGTGGGATGGGTATAAATATCCCACCACGGTGACACCGGAAATGAACCACCAAAGCCTCAACAAGGCACGACCACACATCAACAGTACACCGAGAGAACAACGACCAACAGAAAACGAGAGTACACAACAGGACACCAGAGTATCAACCGTAAACCCATCGACGAACACAATACACAAAAATCCACAGAACATCAACAGTACCAGGTACCATCAACACAAAAAGCCAAACCATCATCGAGAACCTACGAGACAGTAAAACCGAGAGCCCAGAAAAATAATCGGGACAAATCGAGCCACAAACCCACATCAACAACAGACGAAACAACCCATCACAGTACCAAAATACGAACCAACCACCAGAACCAAAAACAACATCAGAGGGTTACAACTACAAACACAACCGAGACAAAATACGACACTACGAGAACAACCAAAAAACAACAGAGACAAAAAAGCACAAGGGCAAAGGAGAAACCGAACCAACGGTCACCGTGAAACGGCGAAGGGCGACGGAAAGGTAAAGCCTTTCGGCTTAGATCTAGGCTGATTCAGTGCGTTTTAGGGTGATTGAGCTTGGGATTTATAATTGGGGTGTGGAGAGGAGTGTTCAGTGAGGTTTAAGGGTTGTCTGGCCGCTGGAGGTGGCGGTCGTAGCAACGGCTGGCGGCGGACAGGCGAGGGGCGTAGAGAGAAGCTGGAGAGAACTTTGTTCTCTCCTTTTGAAGAGAGAGAGAGAGGTAAGCATGGAAATGAGAGGGCTGAACCGTGCGTTGGGCTTAAGTGACGTATATATATATATCATAACCAAACGTCGTCGTTTTAAGCCTAGGGATTTCCGTGTTTTCCATTCATGGTATAACATCCACGTGGGTCCTTTCATTTTGGTAATGTTATTCTTCAGCATTTTAATAGAGTTTTATTTTACACGATTTTGGAGCATTTAGTTTTAATTATTGTGTTTTAGTCCATTATCCCACGTTTTTGTTATGTTTGTTAGAATTGAATTTTGATCACAGTATTTGTAATATCTTCATTTCAGTCACTAATTTATATAGTATATTGTGTTTGATGATTTTCAAATTTGACTCTTTAATTTATGTAAATTTTGTTTTAATCACTATTTTACACTTGGTTTCATCATTATTTTAGTCCTTTAAATATCTGATATTCTCTCTTTAGTATGTTTAAGTTTTTTTCTCTATTTTAATCCTTTAAATATTTTATTTTTATTAATTTTTCTCTCTAATCATTTTTATTTGTATTTTTTTTTTATTATCATTTTTATTTTCTTGTTTTTTATTTATTTAATATTAATTTTCTTATCTAACATTACTTCTTGATTTTTTAGTAATCTTAACCAATTGGAGGTAAGTAATTCGAATCGGATTTATAAATTTTAATTTAAATTTTTAATTCTCGCAATTAAAGACAACCGATAAATTAATTGGTACCGAAAGGGCGATTCAAGGGTGCTAATCCTTCCTTGACCGTAACCGACTCCTGAATCCGACACGTTTCTGGTACAACGTAGATCAGGTAAGATGGTATCCGACCCACCTAAATTCGTTTTAAAGTGGTCGGTGACGACTCTAACCCATTAATCAACGTCGAAGGCCAACTCCGGGGCCCAACCGAAAGACGGTTCCAACACAACTAAAATGAAATATTTAATAATTTGATTGAAATCCCAACTTAAAGAAGATAAATAACTCAAAGAAGAAGATACCAATCAAGTATGAAAAACATATTTTTTTCAGTTCCTTGAAAAAAAAATAACAAATGAAAATAAATTTTCATTCATTTATAAATAAAAATTATAACACAAAAAATAAATGTTAACTCTTCTTAATAAATAATATTTAATTGTTTTTAAATTTAAAATTATATATATATAGTAATTAAATTTAATAATTTATTAATAAATATTTAATGGGTGAACAATTCCTCGAAACATGGTTAACAAACAGATGAAACTTGGGAGTTGGCACGTGAAATTTGTCTTTAACTTTAGTTCAAAGAGTTTATACGGCAACGTTTCAAGCCTTACCTTCAAAGGAACATCAATGGCCAAGTTGATACATCATATGACAGCATCAAATTTGAGAGTTTCCGACAGCCAACTACCTCTATGGGCTAGTTGAAATTATCTAAAAAAAACGATTAATTTATTTTCAATTTAAGCACCAATAATTAAATAAAAGAGATTTTATGATTAATGAAACACTCCCTTCCCTTCCCAAGCAATTTTAAAATGACCCCTACATGCAAGACTTCCCGAAATTGCATGCTTTTTAATATAAACTATTTTTAAATTATTGTTTTTTTTACAGAATACAACTCCCATAAAAAATGCTTCTACAACAAGAAATCCATGAATATCAGCCAAGGTATCGAGCTCTTTGTAACAATTTCAGCTTCATTGGAGCACGACGTCGTTCTTTTCTCACCGTCCTTTAACGCAGCCGTTTTGGTGCACAAAAAGAAATTTCTGGATCCCAACGCCATCAGCTTCTCTTCTCTTTCCAAACCTGCGGCCAACCACACAAAAATATTTATTGGAAATCAATCTTAGCCGTACGTTAGTCTTAAAACATTAGTTAACTGATCTAACGGCTATAGAATCTTCGGAGATGGTCCCTTTTTTCCCTTACTTTCTAAGCTGAATTGAGAATAGTGGAGATTGAAAAGCGCAACGTCCGTTGGCCGCAAGATTGGTCGACGGCCTTCCTTGGAGTACTGCCTGACGGCGGAAGTTATCAAGTCTCTGACAGTGTTTTCCGGCGATATCACCACCTGAACGGCTCCGAGACTGTCTTGAATAGTCACGTTCAGTAGCAGCTTCGTCAACTTCGGCCTCACATCGGAGGAGGTGGAAATAGCCTTCTCTTGAAGTAGATCAGGCTGCGTCTTCGGCCGCCTCAGATCTGTCGGTGCCATCGTCGGGATTCTCCCGTGAAATGACGACGCCTTTTCAGATAGCCTTCCCCGCCGGCTCTTCTCCTGTTCCTTTCGGTTATTTTTTGAATTCGGCATCGAATTGGATTTATAGACTGTAGTATTATACAATAACACAAACAAAAAAACAAGAAACTTTTCTTCGCTGTTGCTTGCTTCTGGTTGGCGAGTGGAAGAACGATTACCTCAATCGCCGGTGACGGTAGAACATGACCCGAGGGAAACCCAGAGCGGGATCGGAGCGACGGCTCTCGGATTTCTGATCACTGTAAGCTATCATCAGCTGAATGGTATATCCGTACATAAACAGGGAATCCAAGGGTAAACGGAGAAGCTAAAAATGCAATAAGATAGGAAGCAAGCTGCCCCTTCAAGTGCCTAACCATCGCACCTTATTTATATCGGGAAGGAAAGCGAACAAAAATAAAGAGAAGTGGCTATGACGAAATCATCGAATCCCGAGACTCTTTCGTTACCGGCTACGTCCGGTTTATGAAAAATAGAGTACTGGTCAAATTGTATAAAACGTCTCTATACTATGTGCTTTTGATGAATTTAATCTCTATTATAATTTAATCATTTTTTCTTTGGGGTAAATTATGCACATGACCTCTTAACTATTGGAGATTCTAATATGACTATTGATCATTTACTTTTTTCAATAAGATCACATAACTATTTAAATTATATCAATCAAGTCATCAATTGTTAATATTCAACGAAAAATGTGATGCGATGGTTAAAGGTTTTGGTATAATTACACATTTGATACATGTTACTTATACATTCTATCAATTTAATCATAATTTTATTTAATAAATTTAACCATCTAATTAGACAATGACATGTGTTATTGGTGAAATTAAAATACAAATAAATTTAATTTTTAAAATTTAGATGTAAATTTAAGTTAAGATATATAAAATAAATTTTTACATAGTAAATATTTTTATTTTATTTAAAAATCCACATACGATAGATATAAATTGGTCCCTAAATGAATCTATACAAATTCATACCAAAAACAACAAATAACTCCAAAATTTCCTTTGTTATAGCATCTAATGACCCCTTTGTTATAACAACAAATTATGAATCTATACAAATTCATAATTTTATTTAATAAATTTAACCATCTAATTAGACAATGACATGTGTTATTGGTGAAATTAAAATACAAATAAATTTAATTTTTAAAATTTAGATGTAAATTTAAGTTAAGATATATAAAATAAATTTTTACATAGTAAATATTTTTATTTTATTTAAAAATCCACATACGATAGATATAAATTGGCACCCTAGATCCCTGGACTTGGCACTTAGAATCGACATATTCCGTACAATATATTTTGTTGTAATGTTTTTATCTTATGAACTGTCTTTATTTTGGGTGACATGCATTGATATTTGATATACTAATTTTATGATTTTTTTTGTTTACTCCTGATATATGGATTATACTTGATACTTGATATTACTATATTTGACGTTATCTGCTATTTTGTTTTACTCTTATACTTTTATGTTTTATATTACTGAATTTGACTTCATTATTATTACTATAATTTAAACATGTTTTGGGAAGTTAAATGTTCTGAAATTAGTTTGAGAAATTTACTGTAATCCGCTGGATCTAGTTGTAAAGTATAGGCTGAGTCTAGAGGTTTATATTACGTAACTGAATGATATATATCAATGTATATATGCCATAAACAATTTCAATCGAGGCTGTGAAAACCCCAGTCTCTTCCTCCTTACCCTTTCCCTTTTTTCCTTTATAGTTTGTGTCGTTTTCTATATATCAAATCAACTTTTTATTTTTTGATTTTCTTTAGTCTGCGGCGACACCAATTTTAATATTGGTTGTCGATCGTCGGTTTTTTTCTCTTTGTTTCTTTTTTAGTTTTTTAATAAGAATAATTTTGTCTTCACGACACGTTTATCTATGCCTTTTGTGGCATGTTTTTTTCTGTATTTTGGTAGTTTTCGGTCGTTTGGTGGATTTGACATCGATCAAGATGACACTAATTTGTTATCATGTTGATCTTTCCTACTTTGGACCCTCATATTGTTTTAGATACGCGTTTTGCGTTCGTGGATAGTTTTCTCACGTTGCTCAACTTTGATTTGCGATTTGTCGGCGGTCTTGCACTAGTTTCATCCCTTTTATGGTTTGTTTGCCGATGCAGTCAGATTTGTTCGTATTTTTATTTTATTCGAGCTTTTGGTTAGATTTTTTTTAACCTTTTCGTTCTTTGGTTCTTGCGTAATCTAGATGACTAATTTTGTGTCAATGATTATAAAAAATATCCTAATTATATTTTAGTTTACAATTATGCTTGTAAATCTTCATTGTAATTCTATATATTTTCTACATTTAATAAAATTGACTGCTTTCTATGAAGGAAAAGACCACAAACCGCAACAAATCAATTGATGAATCTAACTGGAAAAGAAAAACAAATGTAAGGCTGAAAATATACATCTCAAAAAGTTCTATACTAAAATTATTAAATTATAAATTTATATTTTAATTTAATTAACTGAGTTGATATTATAATATTCGAGGAACATGGGTTTAAACGCACTTAGATATATATTATTCTTCGATTTATAAATAAATTATGATATGAGTAATATAGATATTCTATTAAATAAATAAATAGACTATATCCGTAAAAATATACCGTATAGGGACTTGGTATAGAGTTTGACCTAAAGTATTTTCCTTTTCCGTGCTTTAATCAGATCTAGACCGGTAACAGCCCGCGGATGCGACATCTCTGCGGTTACTTGTGGGGAGCTGCTCCGTGCTAAAGTGGGCCCGTGAAGTGGGGATCTTGTTCTTAGTATGAAAAATGTATGATCCGGTAATTTTGCAACACGTTAGGAGAAGGTAGGTTTACGTTTGTATCATTTTTGTTTTAGGTTAAACGACACGTTGTGTATTCCTATTTTTATTTTTATTTTATTTTGATCATTCATTTATCTTTGAATAAAATCATATTTAATATTCTATTATAAATAGAGTAAATTAAATTAAGAGGATTATTTGATATATATAATACTCGGTCAAATCAGTTGACTAATAAATTAAATATTTTTTATTTTTATATTTTTTTATATATAATTAAATATATAATCTTACTGGATCTTTTATCAAATTGGGAAAATCACTAGAGTTTTTCTTATGAATCGAAATGGATTGAAGCAAGCACGTGCATATGTTTATACACAAGGGGATAATTAAAATTGACGCAATGAGTCATGTTGAGAAAAATATTATATAATTAGATATGAATAAAATATTTTATTAATTAAATAATATTATTAATAATTTGATACTATCCGTCAAACAAGATGCTGGTCATGAGCGAGATTAATCCTTTTTCCCTTAAATTATGTCTTTTTTTTTTAATTTTCGAATGATTAGTTAAATTAATGAGATCAATCATTTTTACTTATAATATATGTTTAAAATATTTTTAATTATTTGATAATAAATATTTAAATAGTTCTATAAATATTTAAATAGTTCTATAAATATTGTGTTCGAACTCATGATGTCTAAGAATAATAATTATCTCTTAATATCAATCAATTGGTTCATGTTTATGTCATTAAAATTATGATACAATCAGAAGCCATAGTCCAATTAACTTTAATTGTGTATCATTTTATATATCATAATAAACTATACGATGATTCGTGTTATTAAATTTATTTAAAATATTTTTATTAAAGTATTATTATAGAATTAATTAATGATATATAAAATCATATAAGGATTTAGAGTTACACTAAAAGTGATGAGTTTAACTTGTGGTCGTGAGATCGAGTCCCATGGAGGACATTTTATAATTTGGAGATCTCCTACGGAAGTTGTTCTCAATCTAGTGTTGGGGGCAGCCTACTATTCTACCTCCCCTTACCCCATTACATATAGGAATAAGGGACAATTATTTTTACTAAAAGTGATGAGCTTCTGAAAAATATGGAAACACCTCTAAAAATAAACATCCAAATTGAATGGGTCTAATTAGCCAGCCAGTTGAAGTGGGGTCCTAAGGAACAGACAGACCACTTTGCTAGAGAGGGACTTGACCGACCGGTGCCGCCGGTGGGTCACCCTGAAAGTGAAACCTTAATGAAATAAAAGCATACCATCCAAGGGGTGACTCAGTTACGGGCCCCTTTGTTTGGTCTTTCATGAATACACACTATATCAACTTGTTCATATGATTACGTTCTGCCTTTATACTCCTTACTTCTTTCTACTGTCAAATAAAATTTAAATAAACTAACGCTGTTCCGTATATTGACCATAAACTTTTTTAGTTAAATGATCTTTTAATCTCGAATTTTTTAATCATGGTATATGTAATTTAATTATTGTATTATGAAAATTACATGATTTCTAAAAAATATTTCACACATCGTATAATATGCATCACATTTGATAAGTTCAAGAGTTAAACTGAATAAAAAATTATGTAAATAATTTAGTTTTTAATTATTTCTCACTAAAAATGAGAGAAAAAAATAGCTACAGTTGTGAGAAAGTGGGAAATTAGTACGATTATTAGATGGGAAATGTTAGGGCAAAAACAAAGGGTTAACGAGGCCCCGCGAGTCACTATTATTTGTATGGCCAGCAGGTGAGGTAACGTTTATTTCGCTGGAATGTTTATGAGGGAATTGGAATCTGTGAAGGAATTGAAATCTGTCAGGAATTGAAATCCAATTACATATTCTGTTTGGTTGGCAGAAAATGGAATTGGAATCCAATTTCATATTCTGTTTGGTTCGCAGACATGTCAAATGAATTTGATTTTAATAATGTAAAATGACATAATTGCCCTTCTTGTTTTTTTTGCTTTATTTTAGTTTGTTTTACAACTTACATGTAGTAATATATTATAAAAAATTTAAAAAATATTAAATTTTCATTTTATTGATTGATTATTCATTTCAATAAATTATAAAAATCATGCTAATAAACATCATAAGTTAAAATCATCGCAATCAAAACATGTTAATAAGTTAATAGAACAATATTTCGATACATTCCAATCGGAGTATGTTAATTAGTTACAAAAAAATATACCAAAAATATTTTTATTCAATATATGAATTAGAAACCTTCCGACACGACACAAAATAATAAAAACAATTATTTTTATTCAATAAAAACATTGATTTAATTGAAAATATTATATATAGAGGGGTATTATTGTAATTATTCATAAATATATAAGGTAAAATTATATATTTTTTTCGGGTCGGTCCGATTTTTTTCACCCTAAACTCGAACCCGACTAGACCCGAATATCACACTTAAAAAAACCCAACCCGAATATCACACTTAAAAAAACCC